AAACTATATTAACATATACACGTATTTAATATCTTTGATTTGTGCCCGCCCTCCACTCCCCCCGGACGGGTGGGTACCCCATATCGAATCCTTAAATTCTGAACATCACTTTTGCCCAGGAAACGCTCTCAATGAAATACAATACAACAAACAAACAAAAACAAAAAAAAAAAACTATTGAGTCAGTCATCTTCTCTGACCCTGACTCCGTCTCCATCTGTTTCTTCATAGAATATCATTTACACGATATTTACACGTGCGAATCGAAATATATTAAATACCAATATGTTAAATGAACAGTTGCCGCCTGTTGTCTGCCGCGTGGTTTGTGGGCTTCCCCTCTTAACTACAACTACAACTACTCTCTCTCTCTCTGTCTATGTATATTCTCCTTACCCACTCCTTACTATCTCGCACACTGTTACCAAATTGATTTGATTTCACTTATTGTTATATCTACATATAGTATCTACCTTCTCTTAGTACTAATCACATTTAATTTGCCTCTTTGTCTGGCCTCTTTCTCTCCCTATAACAATTGTAAATTGTAAAATTATTGCTTAAACAAAAACTTTAAATCTTTGAATCCCTTTTGCGGCTCCTTTAAATTTTTAATTCTTAACAAGTTGGTTTTTTTATTGAACTTAAATATATTCTGTATACTACCATCGCTCTGCTCTTGCCATGCATTCTCTGAACAAATTGTAGTCCTTTGTAGCATCTGATTTGTTTTGGAATAGTTAATTTGATCATATCGTAAGCAATTTCCATACATTCTTTAGAGTTTGAACCTTAAAAGATCTGACACACTCACCTAAACGCAATTCGACAGCTTCCTTAGGCTTAGGCCCATAGATGCTCACAGATATTTTCCATTATTATTGTATATACGAGTAGTACCTGTTCGTAGAGCATCAAATGATTTAGTTCCCTTTTTAAATCACCCACCCACGCTGCACGGTGGGTAAAACAGCCAATTCAGCCTCAACAAATTAATTGAAATTATTCTTTTTTTTTTTTTTAATTAAAAAAAAATATAGAAATAAATAATCATATTATAGACCTAATTTGAAATTCGAAAATGTAATTGGATTGGCCATTTAACTCACTGTGCGCTGCCGTAGAATTATCAGCTTTTGTATTTTATTCACTCTCCGCCAAACTTATTCACGGAGTAACCGTACCTACCCAAAAACAAACCCAAGCTAATTGCAAAAAAACGAAAGTAAAAGTAAAAAGAAAAATAATCGGTAAATTTGTATAGTAGAATTTGAGTTTAGTTTGAGCGTTTATCCCCCCTTCCATAAAATGTTGTACTATATTTACGAGTAGCTTGAACCTTGGTTAATTGAAAGCTTTAATACCTTTAAACCCCTACACACACACACAAACTTAAATCCACAATAACCATCCAAGAATATCAATCCATTCTAATGCCAACTCTTGGTGCAGGAGTCGCTCATCCTGAGCTGCAGTCCGGAGAACACTTTCATGCACGGCACAGCCGCCGCACAGCAGAAGCGCGTATCCGCCGCCAAGCTGCTGCACACGGAGAGCAACACCAGCTCCATGTCGTACACGAATCAGTCCGGCGAGAATTCGATGGAGAGCTCCCTCACGGATCCCATGCCCATGGTGGAGCTGGCCATGGTCGCGGGTAGCAGTCGCCACGGCAGCGGAAGCGGCGATGACAACTCGTTTCGCACGACACCCAACGAGTCCAGTGGCCTCAGCACTGGCCACACGCTGGGCGCCGCCTCCAGCCTGGAGGAGGGTCACGATGTGGATGATGTGGGGGACCATGCCGATGCCGAGGAGGGGGAGGATCTGGATATGGAGCTGCAGATAACCACATCCCAGCCGGAGACCAGCAGTGGCGTCTACTCGCGTCGCTCCTCGCAGCCCCACAGGGCGGGCAAGTATCTGGTGGCTGTCCACCGCAAGATCACGCGACACGACAGCTACTTCCTGTCGTACCACAAGACGCGGCCCAGCCTGTTCGGGGTGCCTCTGCTCATACCCAACTGCGATGGCGGCACCCACAAGGATCTGTATTGCGCTGTCTGGCTGCAGGTGAGCCGGCTGCTCAGTCCATTGCCAGCGACCACAGAGCAGGCGAATCATGCCGCCGATTGGTAAGATCCTAACAGAGCTACCAGAACAGTTGTGAAAGCACTGCGACTCTACATTCTACATTCCCAATGTCTCTTTCAGTGACGACAGCCTGGGCTACGATTTCCCCTTCACGTTGCGTGCCGTCAAAGCAGATGGCCTCACCTGCGCCATCTGTCCGTGGTCGAGCTTCTGTCGGGGCTGCGAGATTCGCTGCAATAACGAATATGTGCTCCAGGGTGCGTTGCCGCCCATCAATGCTGTTGGTGCCGGTAAGTGTACGCATCGGATCGGATGCATATTTAAGTCACGACTCATTCGTTGTCTTTGCAGGTAACACGCACACACCAAAAATGAATGCCAAGTTCCCATCGCTACCAAATCTGGAGGTCAAACGGACACCCGAGTACACCGCCTCGCTGTCTTATACTCCAACAACAAAATACTTTGAAGACTTCACAATTGCCATCGACTGGGATCCAACCGCCCTGCATTTACGCTACCAAAGCACCTTGGAGCGTGTAAGTAGACAGACACAGCTGACAGCATCTACATAGACTAATCCGCATTATTGATCAGCTTTGGGTGGACCATGAGACCATTGCCATATGTCGGCGGGAGCAAGTGGAGCCCGTGGACCTGAATCATTGCCTGAGAGCGTTTACCTCCGAGGAGAAGCTCGAGCAGTGGTATTACTGCAGTCACTGCAAGGGCAAGAAGCCAGCCACCAAGAAGCTTCAGATCTGGAAACTTCCTCCCATATTAGTGCGTTGAAAAGTGTGCCCGTTTTTTCTTTTTTAGTTTATTTCAATGATAATTCTGCTTACAGATTGTGCACTTGAAGCGCTTCAACTGTGTCAACGGCAAGTGGGTCAAGTCGCAGAAAGTGGTTCATTTCCCATTTGACGAATTTGATCCCACGCCGTATCTGGCGTCAGTGCCGCAGGAGACGATACTGCGACACAAGGAGCTGCTGGAACTGAAAGCAGACAGTGATAGTATGACAAAAGCAATGCCAAGCAATCAAATTGTCAGCGAACTGGATGAGATCCAGGACCAGGGAAATGAGGACCAAACAACCGAATCTGCTTCGACGACGACCGTTTCGACGTCTACAGTGGCTGCGGGGAATGCTTCACGACAGAGCAAAACGATCAATGCAGCCAAGCGACAGCGCCTCATCTCCACGAGTCTCACCAAGACGCCCATTGTGGATGGCGAATTCGAGGACTATCATCAGCACCGCCTTAAGCCAGACGTGGATGAGTTCGATCCCAAGTACAAGCTGTATGCTGTTGTGGTGAGTAGACACTCCTTAACAGACTTGGAGCGGATGTGTTTTCTAACCTCTTTTTTGTATGCCTTGTAGTCTCACTCTGGTATGCTGAATGGCGGCCACTACATTTCCTACGCATCGAATTCATCTGGCTCCTGGTACTGTTACAATGACAGCTCCTGTCGGGAGATATCCCAAAAGCCCGTGATCGATCCAAGTGCCGCATATCTATTGTTTTACGAGCGCAAGGGTCTCAACTATGAGCCGTATCTGCCCAACATTGAGGGTCGAGCGCTGCCCAATAATGCCTCTGGTCTGCAGCTCGATGTGGACGAGACCGAAGGTGAACTAAAGAAGCTGTGTGCAATTTCCTAACTGATGCACATTCTGCAACCACCCACCGCTGCTCTTGCTGCTGCTGCTGCTGTGGTCATTTGGCTATGAGGGATCCACCACAGTCTCTTCCCCGATTCTGATTCTGTTACGCTCCATTGTGTTTTTGTGTACGTTTTGTTATTTACTATTCTAAGCTCAATTGGATTGGCTGCTTTAGTTGTTTGTTTAGCCCCTAATTAGTTGTAAGCCTACTACTAATGCCACTTCATGGCCTTAGGGCACTGGTGGTTCATGCATGCACCACCATATTATTTCCAGTCTAGCTTGTATATAAATACGTTTAGTGGGTAGCAGGCTAATGCTTGAAAAACGTTTGTTTTGCCAATATTATCAATATCTGATATCTGATCCCCATATTTAGCTTGTTGCCGTGTTTTTTCTTCTTTTTTTGTTTGTTTGTTTCGTAATCGTATTAGGCCATTAGCGCCAGTCAACATGTAATTATTTTTAGGCCAGACCATGTCCGGCTATTCCATTTACGAGTATGTACTAGTATATTGTAACTATCGTTGTAAATAACAAACGGAAGGAAGGGAGGGACTCTGGACAGTTTGATATTAAAATAATCGAATCATTTGATCGGGAATGTCAGAAGAGGAAATTACGAATTTCTAAATCTGAAAAACGAACCTGCAAACTATTGATTGTTACTCTACTCATATGTATTTACATGTATTGATTATTGATTGATTGGCTTTGTGTGGAGAGTCGATTCGAATCGAATCGGTTCCAAAAATTACATAGTATTTTGCGCTTGTCACAGATCTGACTTGGACATGTCTAATCTAATGATTATGTATTTGATATTTACAAATTATATATGTATGTATACACACCCACAGATATATATATATATAGATACAGAACTTAAATAATTTATATTAATATATACACGAACATGATATATTCAAAAGAGAAACCTATGAATAAAACGAACTTTTATGGCTTGAACTAAAACCGTGTTGGAGGTAATCAACAGAGAGACAAGTGGCCAAGGCTCGGATGCACAAAAAACATAATTATTAGGAAATTTGTTGTGTGAAATGCATTTAGAAAAGAACGAAAAGCAATCCCATACCAGTAGGTAGGAAGGAATACACAAAGTAGTACAAAATTCGAATGCATTATATAGGACTATCTCTATCTTCCTATCCTATACCTATATTCTATCCCACGCACTCATTAAGGGGCCAATCCCATACCAGTTTCCCCAAAACAAATTCAATCGTTGTTCTTTGCAATGGAATTCAATACATTTATATATTGTATCTAGATTATGGTGTAATCACATAGTAAATATGTAAGTAAATAAGCATTATTATACTTGTCGTATGTGAATTGGTATCCATTCCGTTTCGTTCCGTGTGTGAAGCAAGAGCAGAATCAACGGCATGAACGCCGGTATTCGTCAAGTGTCAAATATGTAGAAGTTGTAATATTTGTGTGAACGCGACGAGATTATCGTTATAGGGTGGTTTCTTGTTTTTGTTTTTCATTGCAAATGATTATGATAAATATTTATGAGTTCTTGTGTGTGTGTGTCATTCGGTTTTCAAATTTAAATTCTTAGATTGAGTAAAGTATATTTTGTTGTGGAATACGAATAAGCCTAGCATAGATTTGGAGGTGGAAGAGAGTTGCCTAGGAGCCAGAAGTATTTGATAGCTGTCCGGGGACCGAGAATTGCGGCCGGAAGTTGGCAAAGTTCCCTGCAGGACCGCCAGTGAATGCAGGCAGCGTTGTGCCCTGGAATCCACCGGGGAACTGGCCCATCAATTGAGCTGAAAGCAAAAGAAACCCATCAAAAATGTGCCTAGTTAAACGATGAGACGGCTCATGCTCAGGGACACACACTTACCTGCATTGGAGGAGGTGCCGGCGGTGGCCGCCAGGCGAGAGAGAATCGATCGCTCGGACATTTGTAGGCGCTGGGCCACGGGAGGGATGCGGGCCAGTGTGGCCGGCAGGCGGGAGACATCACTCTTCATGTCGGAGAGCAGTTCCTCCAGCTGGTTGAGCACCTTGTGCAGCACGGCATTAGCGGGCTTATTGCCGGCCAGCGACTCCTTGCTGAGATGCTGATGCGACTCGGCCAGACACTCGACCTCCGCGAAGCGTGCATTCAGCGACATGGCCGGGTGGCTGGGGTCCTGGGCGAGATTAAGGAATGCCGCACGTCGCAGCTGCTCCTCAATGACAAGGGCCTGCTCCAGCAGCTTAAAGCGTCTGGCCAGAAACTTGTTCTTGATCTCCAGGAAATTGCCCTTGCCCACGTCCATCTTGAACGGCTCATTGATGATGGCGAAGCGTATGTCGTTCTGGATGTCCTGCCAGCGTCCATAGCCATGGGTCACGATTCCGGCCAGCAGCCAGTAGTCGTGGCGACGGTGCCAGATCTCGTACTCCCTGCCGGGCACGGCGGCCTTCTCTTCGTTCAGCCAGAGGGTGTGCAGCTCGGTGAAGCCACCGTCGGCGATATTGAACATGAATGTGCGCTTGAGCACCTCGAGATCCTCCACCAGCTTGCTAGCCGCTGCTGCTCCGGCGGCAGCTGTGGCCGACTTCTGATCCGCGCTAGCACTGGCACTGGCACTGGCACTGCCGCTGGCCCCACTGGGCTTCTCCAGTTCGCCATCTTCCTTCACAATCATCACATCGTCATCGTCGTCATCAATGATCGTTGTGGGGATGGGCGGCTTCTTATCATCCATTTTCTCCTTTTCCTGTTCCTTCTCCTTGTCCTTTTCTTTGTCGTCCTCTTCGGTCTTGGGTTCCGCCTTGAGCTCTGCCGTCTCCTTGGCCTCTTCTTTGGGTTCGGTCTTGGGTGCTTCGGCCTTCACCTCCGCCGCCACTGCCGCCACACTCGGTTTGACCTCGGCAGACGATTCTGATTCCGCCTGCTGCTGCTCCTGTTTGACATCGGAAGGCTTCTTGTCCTCGTCAGCCTCTTGCTCCAGCTTCACATCGCTCTTCTCGGGTGTCCCAGCGTCCTTTTCCTTCTCCTTTTCTTTTTTCTTCTCCGCTTCTTTATCCTTGTCCTCGCCCTTTTCCGAGGCAGGAGCTGGACTGGGCGCCGCACTGGTTGCAGGCGTCACACTGTTGCTGGTCGTTGCACTTTTGTCCACCTCCGTGACGGGGCCCGCGACAGGCTTTCCAGGTGGCGCCTCAAGAGCCGCTGGTATCTCCAGCTTGGCACCCAGAGCCGCCTGAACCGGCTCGCATGGCTTCAGGATGATCTCCGGCATGCTGTAGTAGCCATTGATGTGCTCGAATTCCTGCACCTTCTTGCGGATCAGCGACATCACACCGATCCGGGTGAGCACATGCTGGCGGGAGAGACCCTCGCGTGGAACGCCATCGGCAAAGGTCTCCGCATTGTCGGCGCCCGGCTCGCACAAATGGCGCATGAACAGCGAGACGTAGGCCTTGAAATTGCGCTCCGATTTGCCGCGCAGGTCCCTGACCAGCCACTGCGAATTGAAGGCATCCTGGGGCGGCATGCCATACCGCATGATGGCATTGAGGAAGCTCTTCCGCTGGCGGGCATTAAAGCCGAGAACCTCAATACTGCCACCGACACGAGCCAGCAGCGGCGGCAGGGGTCGATCGTCGCGTCTGTCCACGCGGCGTTTGCCCCGACGCTCGCCGCCGTTCTGTTCGTCAAAGTCATCGTCGCCGCCGTCCTCGTCGGAGCCGCCCGAGTACTCCGAATTGTACTCGCTGCCATTGTCCTGCCAGTTGGAGTCGTCCCGATTGGTATCGGCCGCCACAACGCCGCCGTCCGTGTAGTTGACCTGCTTGCGGACGCGCTTGCCCTTGCCCAGGCTACGGCCGACATCCTCCTGGTGTTGCTCGTAGTGGTGTCGCAGCAGCTTGACCCAGTAGGCGGGGTCCGAGTTCTCGGCATCCTGCTTGATGATCTCTGTCTCCTCCTCTTCCTCCTCCTCCTTGGTGGCGTAGGAGGCCACCTTGAACGAGGAGAGGTACTCGTTGGCCCACGACTCCTTCTCCTCGATGCCGCGATTGGTGCGGTCGAGCAGCTCGGCCACCGCCTTGTCGTCGTAGTGAATGGCCTCCTCCTTGTCGTCCTCCTTGAAGAGATCCTCTGTGCCGAAGCGCAGGATATCGTCGAGCTCCTGCTTGGTAAAGTTTGCCCCCTTGCCACCCATCCCGGGTCGCACCACCAGATGCGTGAGCATCATCTTTCGCTTGGCAACCTGCGTGACGCGCTCCTCCACGGAGTTTCGCGTGACAAAGCGATAAATCATCACCTTGTTGGCCTGCCCGATGCGATGGGCGCGCGAAAAGGCCTGTATGTCATTGTGGGGATTCCAGTCCGAGTCGTAAATGATGACCGTGTCGGCGGTGGCCAAGTTGATGCCCAGTCCGCCCGCTCGGGTGCTCAGCAGAAACACAAACTGCTGGGCACCGGGCGCATTGAACCTGTCGATGGCCTCCTGGCGCACTGTGCCCGTGATGCCGCCATCAATCCGCTCGTACTTGTACTGCTCGCCCTCGAGAAAGTCCTCGAGTATGTCCAGCATTTTGGTCATCTGCGAGAAGATCAGCACTCGATGGTTCTGCGATTTCAGCTGCCGCAGCATCTTCGACAACAGCACCAGCTTCCCGGCGGCTTTAGTCAGCGAATTTATTTCATAGAGTCCGCCCGCTGCGGTGGTTGCCTCCTCGGCCGCGGAGGGAAACAGATACGGATGGTTGCAGCACTTCTTCAGGTCCATCATGATGTTGATGAGCGAACAGGAGCCACCACCGGTCTTTGAGTTGAGGGCCTCGTAGTTTTTGGTCAGAATAAATTTATAGAATTTCTTCTGCATCGCCGAGAGCTCCACGCGCACGATGAACTCCGATTTGGATGGCATGTTCTTGAGCACATCCGTCTTGAGGCGACGCAGCATGTGGGGGCCGAGCATCTCGTGCAGTCGCTTCACCTGCTCCTCCTTGGAGACGTCGGCGAACTCGCCCTGGAAGGCCTGCAGGTCGTTGAACTTGTCGCGCGAGAGGAAGTTCAGCAGATGGAACAGCTCCTCGAGATTGTTCTGCAGCGGTGTGCCGGTCAGCAGCAGCTTGTAGGCGATCGAATAGCTGTTCAGGATGCGGAAGAACTTGCTCTGGTTGCTCTTGAGGCGATGGGCCTCATCCACCACAAGGACGGCCCAGTCGATGCTGCCCAGGCAGGCGGCATCCATGGAGATCAGCTCGTAGCTGGTCAGCAGCACGTTGAACTTGTATTGGGTGGTGCGCAGGCGGGAGACCTTGCTGCCCCGGATGGCCCCCTCCTCGAAGCTCAGCTCGTTCTCGCGTATCACCGCCCGCGAGTCCTTGTCCCCGATGTACGTGATGCAGTAGAAATCGGGGGCCCACAGCTCGAATTCGCGCTCCCAATTGACGAGCGTGGACAGCGGTACGGCCACCAGAAACGGGCCGCGGCAGTGGCCCTCCTTGTACAGCGAGTAGAGAAAGGTCACAGTCTGGATGGTCTTGCCGAGACCCATCTCGTCGGCCAGAATGGTGTCGATGGCTTGGCCCCAGCTGTAGCGCAGCCAGTTGATGCCCTCGATCTGGTAGGGATGCAGCTGCATTCCGGTCTCATCGAGGAACGCCGGCTGGCCCTCGTACTTCTTCTTCAGATCCGTGGTGGGCTTCTCCGGTGGCGGTGTGTAGTGCTTCACAGGACGATCCTCGTCGTCAAGCTCCATCTTCTTGGACTTGCGACCCTTCTTGCTCTTCTTGCTGCTGGAACGCGTGTTCTCCGATGTGCAAACGGCCCGCAGATCCTGGTAGTAGTCGATGGCCTGCCGCAGTCCCTGGATGTCATCGCCCTCCTCTTCCCACGTGGACTTGTCGTAGGGCAGCTCGCGCCACTTCACCAGATACATGGTGCTGCCGTCGCGTGCTGTGCGATGGTTGATCACGCGCTGGACAATCAGCCACTCGGGCTTGACGCCGTTCTTGTAGAAGCGCTCCTCCAGCTGCTCCTCATCGTCATCGTCGGCCTTCATGCCAACCTTGTCCTTGTGCCGCTGGATGCGCTTGAAGCGCGTGTCGGCCTCGTCCAGTGACTCCTCGAACTTGGGCGGCTCCTCCATGTCGTATTTGCGCTGAAACGATCTGATCATCAGCGGATGGTGCACATCCAGCTGCACCTCGGCCACCCATTCGCAGTGCCAGTAGGACATGTTGTGCCACTTGATGAAATATTCGCGCACTCTAGTGCCCGCTGCCGCGGCCGAGCCCTTCGACGATGAGGTGGTGCCCCGCGATGTCGAGGGCTGGTCATCGTTGGCCGAACGCTGCACGGCCCAGCGCCAGGTGATTATCTTCTCGGCCTTGCCGGTTAGCGGGGGACAACTGCAGCGCGGGCAGCGCCAGTCACCGTCTGGTATGGTGTCCAGGGCAGGATTCAGGCAGAACGTGTGATACGCCGAGGGGCACGAGTCGCAGCACAGTAGCTCGCCCCCATCCTTGCACACGCGACAGAACTCCTGATGCTCGTCGTCGTCCTCCTCCTCGGCGGCGCCGCCATCGGCCTCGCAATGCGGACACGACCACTTGCCCTCTGGCGGCTCGTCCAGCTCTGGTTCCAGGCAGACCAGATGATACGCCCGCGGACAGGTGTCACAGAGAATGATCTCGCCGCCCTGCTGGCACACCTCACAGTAGTCCTGATGCTCATGCTCCCCGTCCTCGCCCTCGGGGAAGTTCTTCGTCTTCTTGAGCTTGTTCTTCTTCTTGAACTTGTTGCCGATCTTGGTCTTGGCCTTCTTGCGCACCACTGGAGTGCCGTCATCTTGTTCGGTTGCTGGCCCGGGCGCCGCCTCGGCGAGCTTAGCGGACGCGGTGGCTGGCGGTGTCTCCTTCTCGTCGGCACTGTCATCGGACTTTTGCAGCATGCGCTCAAACTCCAGATCCGAGTCGCGTTCGGAAGCACCGCTTGCGTCCTGCTCGTCGTCAGAGCTGTCCCGCTTGCGCTTGCCAAACTTAATCTTCAATGTTGGAACTTTTCCGGAGGGTCGCCGGCCCTTCTTGCCACGGCCGCTGCGCTTGCGGCGCGGTTTCTTTTCCTCCTCCTCTTCTTCTTCCTCTTCTTCGGCGGCCTCGTCGTAGATGTCGTCCGGCTTCTCATTGCGCGATGAGCGCGAGGAACGCGGCTCCTCCGGCTCGTCTTCGGCTACACTGCGCGGTACCTGGCCGCCTCCTGCTGCAGCCGTAGCCTCCTGCAGGATATGGGGATTGCTCTCGCAAAAGTCCCGCCACTTGGCCCCCACCAGCATCATCAGCTTGGTGGCGGCCACCTTTGGGTTCTCCTTCTGCAGTATCGGGCGCACGTGCTGCATGAACGCCTTGTAGGTGGTCAGGGTCTGCAGCTCATCATCATTGTATTCGATCTCCACGTCACACACTCCGAAGGCCGAGCAGACATCCTCCACGGACGGCATGCCTGGGTTGACAAAAAGATTAGCTGATATTCGTTGGGATATTCACAATTTGCAATCGCTCACCTGATGCAGCCGATTCCTTCTCCTTCTCCTTGGCAATTGCCGCCTGTTTCTCCTCCTTGCGTTTGCGTCCGCGCTTCGAGGTGCTCGCGTATTCCACCTCCTCATCGTGCTGCACAAAGTCGCTGTCCTCCTCGCTCTCGTTCTTCTTGCGCTTCTTCTTCTTGCGCCCCTTCTCCTCGCCCTTTCGGGTCTTTCGCTTCTTGCCCTTCTTCTTCTTGCGACTGTCCTCAGGATCGTAGTCATCGTCCTCGTCATTCTGCGTCGATGTATATGCACATATATCGATAATTAATACACAAAAGTTAATTAGCAGACACGCTTTGGGGGCGCTTCTGATAAGAAGGGAAGCCTGTCTGTGTAGGAGTCTAGAAGCACTGCAGCAGCACAGCTGCAGAATGCTGCTAAAGATGATCTTTCGATAAAGGATTGGAGCACACATGCTCCAGCCGCATCTGGTACATGGATGGGACCCATAGGCATGGGAAAATCACCAACCATCTTCCAGGCGAGTATCGATATCCAGGAATGAGGCCATGTAACAATAATAGTAATCAACCTTCTACTCGGTAGGCTGTAAACTTATCAGATATGACACTAGAATCTTTTTCAATTTAGAACCCATCCCGATACATTCAATCGTGTAATGAGATATGTATATCCGCTTGATTTTTCAGTTAAATATAATTTAACTTTCTTTATAACAATCACGATTTATGACTATAACCATAGGTGTACCTAACCATTTCAATATCAACAATCTAACAATTCCAACAAGATTTCAACAGCCAGATGCACAAGCAAAAAGTGAAAAAAAAAATGCCCGAGAATGCAAAAACAAAATAATAAGTCTCCTGTGTATGAATCCCTCACCACAGCTACCTTGTGTGGTATGGTAAGGTACGGTAAATAGTTGGTAAATACTATGATAAATAGTTTGCTAAGGATCATATTAGTTTCCATTTCAGTATTAATTTCCGATAAAAGTTAATTTCTCTATGCTTCTATCTGTGTGAGACTCATAGAAATATGTACATTTTTTTTGTGTAGATAATGAAATACTAACAATACTCACGGTCGGCTTCAGTGGCGCATCGGAGTCGTTGGAGAGCTCCGCCACTGGTGCATTCTCCTCCTGTACCTCTTCTTCCTCTAAACGATTGGATTGGAATAGAAAATGGGAATAAAATATTTTCGATTAGTTTTCAATAATTATAGAAAGAGTGAGACAATGCAGGACAATCATCAATCTGCGATTTACCGTGGTGGAGATCATGTTCAAGTGCCGCGCCTCAAAAAGACCGAGAAGAAGACCTAATCCTCCAAATATGGAAATCAAAATAAAAGAAAAAGCTTTTTTTTTCGATTCAATATTTTATTTGATTCTATTTTTTTTTTTGCTTTTTTTTGTCAAGTTTTTTTTTTGTTGTTTCTCCGTTTTTCATTTTGTTGTTTGTTTGTGGTCTCTTAATCATTACTAGTATATAACAATATCTCGTTTTTTTGTAAGATTTTTCATTCTGCTGGTCTTGTCAGCGGTGTTTGCTCTTAGTTATACAATAATAATAGCAATAATAATAATAATAATAATAATATTTTTCTCTCATGTCTCTTGATCTGGTCTACTCCTCCGTAATCGTACTCTTAACTTTTCCATCCTTCTCTCTCACGACGGCACTACGGCCACGCACTCGATTCTCATTTCTTTTCATTTATTCCTTAATAAGTTCATTCATTTTTTTTCTCATCAATTGCTGTATTAGGTGTGTGTGTGTGTGTGGGCGTTGTGGGCGTGGCATTTATATAAAAACTAGTAAATTTCCATTGTTTTGTTTTGTTTTGTTTTGTTTACTTTACTTATCAAATGTCAATGTTGTATATTAATATATATATATATATGTATATATATTTTGTAGTGTTTTGTTTTTTTTTTTTGTTGTATATAAATTGTATATATGATTTTTGTAATTGCTACGAATCGATTTATTTCATTTGATTTTCCCTTTTTTCGTTTTTGTCATCATTTATCATTGTTCTCCCCCATCCCCCCCACAGTTCTACTTAAATATCATATATAAAAAATATTGCAACGAAATAGCTAAAATTTCTTCGGTTTTTTTGTTTTCTTTACTTACAATTTCGTGTTAGATCCTATGCTTTGCTTTGCTTTTGTTTCCCTATCATCATTCCTCCGTTCCCTATCATTTTGGACACTACTAGAGTTTTCAGCAAATTATTTGATAATTTTCAAGCGACATTTACAATTACTTCCAATTTCACTTTTAACTTTTGACTTTAGGAAGCGTCTGGGTGTGGGTCTGGTCCGGTCTGTCTATAAACTAAAAGAGGGCCGCAATAGTAGCTCTGATACAACCATTAAGTATGCATGTAGGTCTTCCTATTAGTCCTCCTCCCCTCATTCAAATTTTCTTTTGAGCAATGTGCATTTTATAAACCCCTCAAAATGAATATATAAATATGTGTTGTCCCTTTTCTTGTTGTTTCTTGTTCGGATGAAAAAAAAAAGGAAGTACGGGATAGATAGGATTTTTGTTGGGACCTGCTGTTGTTGTGTCTGTTGTGGCTAAAACAAAAAATGTAACAAAAAATATATAACAAATTAACTAGTTAGCGATTAAAAACAGACGAATAATTTTTACTACAAAAGCCGCTCTAGAAATTAACAAGTCGTTAGAAAAGTTCAGTCTATTGTTAGAGGCACGCCCGCATGCAACACCGCGCATCCACCCCGCCCGCCCGCCACAACACCGAAAGGAAAATATATGTGTGACTGATTGTATGTTGCCTCTTTGGGTGCTCTCTCTCTCTCTGTGTATCCTCTCTTCTGTCTGTTTGTGGCCCGCGTATGCCCAGGAAAGAATTGGGTCAATATCAGTGGAAATTTAAGGGGTGTGTTCCGATCCGATCCGATGCCATTCCCCCATCCTGAATGTCATTCCATATCACATCTAAATGTGATTCTACATGTTATGGCTGTGCTTGCAACTGTAAATGACGGACATTTTGTGCTCTCACGATCTCTCTCTGGTAACACAAATCTATAGAACCAGAAGCTACATATATGCCCGAAAAAATGCAATAATTTTGTGGATGAGTGTGTGTCCTGTCTGTGTGTGTGGGAGTGTCCGTGTGGTTTCTGCCGTTTGTAACAAAATGTTAAAAAAAACAAAACAAAAAAATAAAACAGAAATCAAGATACAAAAATAAAAAAAAGTATTAGATTAAACGAAAAACATACAGACTATATTTAAAAGTTTTATATAATTAGAATAATATAATAATTATTATTACACACAATAAACGCAAGCAGAAAGAAAAATCACACACAACACGTGCGCGTGTGTGTGTGTGTGTGTTTTCTTTCTTCTCATTTAGTTACGATCGATCTTATTTCTGAAGCTGCTCTCATGTCTCTGGTCTGTTCTGGGATGTTCAACAACAAAAAGGGTTAAGTCTACAACTCGTATAAATTGTTGCTCAAACGCTTTTAAAAATATTGATTTTGTCTCCTCCTCACTGCACTCTTCACTCTGCATCTGCTATATTTATATATATATATATATAATAGTTCCATATATGTGTACAAGTTATATATGCATCTTTCGTTTCGATAAAAAGTATCTTTAAGCGAAAGGTTTTCTTTGTTTTTGTTTTTTGTGTTTTTTTTTTATTTTAATTTTTTATATTTTTGTGTTAACATATTCCGTAATTTCAACATTTGCTTTTTGTTTGTTGGTGTTGGTTGCAGTACAATTTCTTTAAGAACATTTTTGTTGCTTCGTGTTTTTTTTTCATCTGTTTCTCGCTTGTGTTTTGTTGCTGGTTTTTGCATTTTCACTATAATAGTATTTGTTGTATTTATGTATATAATAGTTTCCATTTCTTCTTCATTTTTTTTTTTTGTTTGTTTGTTTGTTTGTTTTGCCTTTTTACATGGGGTTAAGGGTTAGAGGGGATGGGGGTTAGGGTTAGGGAGGATTAAGCGGATCATCGAAGTAGTTGTGTGTGTATCAGTAGCGGTCGCGGGTCTGATCGTCGTCGGTATTGGAGTTGGAATCTTCGCAGTCCTCATCATCATCATCGTTGGAATCCGAACTTTCGGAACTGTCATCCGAATCGCTTTGATGCTCCTGCGACTGTTGCTGTTGCTGCTGCTGCTGATGCTGATGATGAGGATAATGCTGTTCTATCGTCTCCACCGCATGGTGCTGCTGCTGCTGCTGTCTCCGCTGCTGTTCCGCGTGTCTCGCCGCCATTTGTGCTGCTTCGACAGGAGCCGTTGCCGGCGCAGGCGCAGGCGTTGGCGCAGGCGTTGCAGCTGGAGGAGTAGCCGCCAATGTGATCAATGTCTGGTCATAGTCCGTAACCAGCTGCTTAATGTGGGCCAGCTTGGCTTGCAAGTAGTCGAACCGCTGCTTGTCCTCGCGTATGGTGCGATCGTTATTGATGCGCTCGTACTCGCTGACAATCTGGCGCTTGATCTGATCGTAGTCCCCGTATCCGTTGTCGCTACGCCGGGCGCTGTCCATGCGCTCGGATAGGGTCTGGAAGCGGTTGCGCACGCCCTCGACACGGGTCAGCAGCTTGCGATACTCATCGTAGTCGCTCTCAAATTCAGTCTTGTAGCGTCTACGCACTTCCAGTGAATGTATGGGAACGTATTGGCTGAAGTCGTAGCGTGGACTCGAGGACGAATCGGCATCTGCGTTCGCATACGCATGGGTGGCCGCCGCCAGCTGCTGTGTGGGCGATGGATGCTGGGCACTGGTGGCTGGAGCTCCATGCTGATGCTGCTGTTGCTGCTGCTGCTGATGGCTATGCTGCTGCTGCTGCTGCTGCTGCTGTTGGACGGACGACGCCGATGCGGAACGGATAACGGTGGCGGAGGAGGGAGGTGGAACCTGTTGATAGGACCCAGAGCTTGAGCTGGAGTTTGAGCTCCTTTGACGCTGGCCTCTGTCGTTGGATGATGATGATGATGCGCCTACACCTGCACCTGCACTACTCGTACGCTTCTTGCTGTTGGAGGCCGCATGGGTGTTGTTGTTGTACGAGTTGTAGTCGCTCTGCTGTTGCTGATGCTGCTGCAGTGGCAGATTGGGCGCCGTCGAAGAACGTTGCTTGCCTCCACCACCTGATCCAGATCCAGATCCCGATCCTTTTCCTCCTCCGGTGGCTGCTGGCACAAAGCTGTTCGCCAGCTTGGGCGGCGTTGTCGAGGATTTACTGTTGCGACTCGCTGGCATGCTCGCGCTCGTCGTCGTCGTCGTCGCTGACCGATTACGCTCCAGCTGTGTCTCATAGCCGCTGGAACTGCTCGAATTGCTGCCCGTTGAGTTGCGCTTGTCCTTGCTGCCGCTGCCACCGTTTTGGGAGGAGCTGCCACGCCTACTACTGCTACTGCTATTGCTCCTTCTTTGCTGCTGATGCTGCTGAGTCGCTGCCGTTGCCGCCACCGCCGCCGCCGTTGTGCTCATGAACTCCTCCATGTTGTCGAGGACATTGTAGCTGAGATCACTGCTGGTGTGATCGTCCAGCGGACCCCCTTGTCGCTGCGGAGGCGTGTATCGGTTGCGGTTCGATGAGGAGGAGGAGGCAGACACGGATACTGAGGTGGAGGACGGGTACGATGTGGCCGAGGGCGGAGTGTCCTTCTTGTAGTGACTGATGCGCTGCTTCTTCGGCTGCACAGTGCTGAACATCGTCTCGTCGTACTCCAGGCTTGTGCGCTTCAGACTGCCGCCACCAACACCTCCGGGTCCACCACCACCGCCACCCACACCCCCGCCATTGCCATGTGGCGGCGGACTTCCTGTATGCGTCGATGTGGGACTCTGGCCGGACGTGGAGCTGCCCGCATCGGAGCTCATCGGAGGCGTCAGATTTTGGGGCTTGCGTCGCTTCAGCTGCTGCACCTCCTGCTCGCTAAAGTACGGCCAGTTCTCGTCCACGTCGTTCCACATCTGGCGCCGCAGATTGTACGTGTTTTGCCCCATCGTGCTGATGTCTTTGAGTATGCTGGTGATCAAGTTGCGCTCCCGGTCCCGTATCCCCTCGTTGTTCAGCCTAGCGAACAGCTCTGGCTTCTTGAAGGCCTTGAGGGCCAGCAAGTGGATCAGGCGCTCACGGATGGTGCGCCTCGACACATCCGACATCTTGCTGCCACCGGATGACTTGTTGTTGCCGCTCCTCGAGTTGCTGCCGCCTCCGCTAACCATTTTGCTGCGTCCGTTTGTCGAGGAGGAGGATATGGCGGAGGTTGTGGTTGTTATATGGTTGCTGTTGTTGCTGCTGTTGTTGTTATTGATTGGCTGGCTGTCCCTCGGTGAGCTGCCGCTCATGTTGTAGCCCTGCGATATTCCATTGGCAAATGTAGAGGCCAGCGAGGAGGCCGAGTTGTTGCTGTTGCTGCTGCTGCTGTGGTAGCGATTCGACGCTCCACCGCCATTGACTGTGCCGCTGCCACCCAGCGTACTCGGGTTTGGCGATCGTTGTGATGCTGTGGCGGCGGTGGCGTACGATGTGGCATACGATGATGATCCTACTGCTGATCCTGATCCTGCTCCTGCTCCTCCTACTCCTAGACCATTAAATGGCGATGAACCTAACTTACGACTATTGTTGTTGTTGCTGTTGCTATTAAAACTATTGCTGCTGCTGTTGCTGTTGTTCCCACTGTTGTTGTTGTTGTTGTTGTTGTTGCTGTTGTTGCTGTGATGATGAAATGCTGTCGCCGTCGTCGTCGTCGTCAGGGAGGATGAGGACGATGATGATGATGATGGGGCCTTCTTCACCTTGCGCCCAATATCCGACTGATTTGGCTTGATCTCCCGTATGCACTTGCTCTTCTCCGTCTCCTCGGCAATGGCCATTTTCGTGCGTGTCGTATCGTAGACATCGTCGTTGGCATGTATCCGCATCCGGAGCGTGACCGCACCGAGGACGCCGAGGTTCTGTTGCTGCTGCTGGACGCACTCGAGGGTGCCCTCCATGTTGTTGATAGTGAAACCAAATTTTCGCCCTCCATTGTCCATGTGGCTGCCGCCAGGGTTGCTGCTGCCGCCAGAAGGTAGGTTGCTGTTGTTGTTGCCATTGTTGCTGCTGCTATGGCCCTCGGTCGTCGAGGGTCGTGAGGGGAACTGTATGACGCCGGTGTTGCCAATGAACTGGATCTTCGCCCGCTGGCCGGGCTGCAGGCGTTTGGCATTGTCGTCCCGCTGGTATTCCTCGATTGCACGGAAGGCGGAGTCAGTGAGCTTGACGATGATGTACTCCTTGCTATCATCGGTGTAACGGTGGCTTTGCGACATACCATAATTGCCAGACGAGAGTGCATTGGGCAGGCATTTTGCTGACGCAATCGAATTGGTCATAACGTGCGCGCAATTAGCCGCAAATCGAATCGAACCAGATCAGATCAGATCAATCAGATGGATGTTCAAATTGTGATTTCTATGTTCCTTTCCTTCGATGGATGGTGCCGTTGCACGGTGAATGACGATAGGTGAGAGGAGGCAGGATGCTTGGCCAGCCAGTGTTGCAAAATAATGGAAAACAGCCCGAACGATAGACCAAACGGCGGGTACAAAGGAAGGAAGGAAGGAAGGAAGGAAGCGCACAAAGTGGAACGTTTGGACGTCTGGAAGGGGTGCCTCTGGAAGATGCTTTTGTTTGTTGTTGGTTTTTTTTTTCTTTTCTTTGTTGCTTTCCAATGATAATTGCTTCACTTGTTGTTGTTGTTGTTGTTGTTTTGATTGTTGTTTCTGTGTAATTTAATAATGTTTTTAGTTTAGTATGTTGTAATCGTAAAATGAATTTCGTTGTTGCTAAGACGTGTGCTGTGACACACACACACACTTTCACATAAATATATTGCACTCTCAGAAACACGCATGCACACACACCCACACACACAGAGAGAGGTGCTCAGATATATCTCCGTCTCTTTTGGCTCTTTAAGCTGAGTTTTATTTTAAAAATTAACGTTTTTATTTCAAATGCAGGCAAGGATGAAAGCACTCAATCGCTCCGTATATGTATAGCTGTATTTTGCTTCCTTCTCAGTGGAGAATTTCACTTCCGTATGGAAGACATATTTTTTTTATTGTATGTCTGTCTACTTTCAAAAAGAGTCTTCTGGTAGATATTTGCACTCCCAATTGTACTCGCTCTCTTTGTTACTCTCTCTCTCTCTCTCTCTCTCTCTTTGTATCTCTAGCTGACTGTCTGCGTCTTTCGATGTGTGCTCGTTGCAAATAACACAATTTCTTTTGTTAAATAATATGGTGTTTTAATTGGGTTAAGGTAGGCGCATGTATGCTCTGCTCTGCTCTGTTGCTGCTTCTGTTTCTGCAGGCGGGCGGGCGGACGGGGGTGTGCTGCTGGTACTCCTTTTGGGTGCTGTGCTTACTTTTATTGTAGTTGTAAAATTCGCTTGTTGAAAGTGCCGCAGCGGCAGCGTTAGTCGCTCCTGCGCCAGGTGCCAACAGTTGTCAATGTATTTGTTTATGTGTGTTGTATGTGCATACACACGTATGTAAGAGGTGCTCTCAGGTCAGTCAGCGGCGGCCATAAGCAAAATCAAAGACGACGGGCACAGCAGCAATCAAATCAATGCTGCGCTGCTCTGCTCACACACGTCCGTGACTGATTTTGCTATCTCGCTCTTGCTCGGCTCCTTGCCTTGCTTCTGCTGCTGCTGCTGCTGCTGTCACTGTCGATCGCAGCGAGAGCGTTGAAGCGAGACAACTGCTGTTTTGATTGGCTTCTCCGTTGTGTTGTTTTTGTTGGTGGTGCTGCGGCTTGATCTTTTTTCTTTTCGCTTTTTGCTAAAAATCATCTGTGCTTGTACGTTGGATTTTTATATATTTTACTTCTGCCTCTGGCTATGGCTCTGCTTATTATATTTTCTTGTCCACATCTATATTAGTTGCACATCGATATATATGTATGTACATATATATGTATTTCGATATGTATGCATGAATGTATGTGGAGGCCTACATATATGTGTATATCTTTTACTTTGCACACTCACAACGCACACACTCTCACGTTTCAGTTGAAATATTTAGTTAATTTTAAATGCCTTTTAACCACTTTTTTCTCTTTCTGATATTGATGTATGCGAGCGTGTACACATGTATTTCGCTTTACACTTTTACTCAAGACATTTTCGGTTTTGGAATTCTCGTATTTGTATCTGTGTTGTACTTGGCACTGGAATTTTCATATATTTCTTTATTGCTAACGTTCCGATTCACATTTATTTACACGTTTCACTCGGCTCACAATGTTTTCTTGTGTTTTATTGCAGTTTATTTGCCTTCTTTTGTATGGGATCGGGGGGCTGTATGTGAGTCCCAAGGTATCTTAATCAACGTACAAAAGGTATCTGCTAAATGAAATCGAAACGAGTTGCTTTCAAGTGGTTGCCCGTCGCCGTCGTCTGCTCTCCTCCTCTACTCTTCTCTTCTCACTGCTCAGCTCTGCTCTCTGTGCTGTGCTGTGCACTCGTTTATTACACCGCTCACCCCCGTGGCCCGTGACCACCATAGCTAGGCGACAACGAGTGCGACGGAGCAGATCACTGATGTCGAGGTGGCTGCTCTCTCTCTCTCTCTCCCGCTCTATCTTTGGCTCTCCCTCTCTTAGTGGGCTCTCGTTAGGCCATGTATTAAGGTACGTACGTGCCTTGTATCACTTGCCTTGCTGTCTTTCGGCCACAGCTCTGGCTCTGGCTCTTGCTGTTGTTGCTTTTGTTGTAGGTGAAGCGTGTGGAGCAAAGCGAAAAACGAAAACAAGTTTACGATTTAATGTGCGCACTTGGCACTGTCTCAGCCAGCAACGTTCCCCGTTAGACAGACGAAGGCCTGTTCTCTTTGGTTGGCGACTCTCTTAGGCCTTCTCTCTTGTGTAGTCTGCATACATGCGCGCGTGTGTGTGTGTCAGCGCACGTCTTAGCAAAAAAAAAAGATTACCAAAAAAATTAGCCAAATAGCTTACTTTATATGCTTGAAAAAACTGCAGTCGGGGTCTAGATTCAGGTACAGAATATGAAAGAAAATATTTCAGCTTAATAACGAAAAGTAAACAAGGACAATGCACTTATGTACTTACAATGGGATATTCTAGAATAATGGATTTTTGTTGTATTGCTTTTTTTTAATGTTGGAACAGCTGTTCTGCCACCTGTATGCCCCCGTCACAAGTAGTAGTTCGCTCTCGCTCTCTCTCTCTGCGCAGGTTTCCCCAACAGCAGCAACAACAACTATCCCAATCAGCTGTTGCTCGCTCGCTCTCTCGCCCTCTCGCTCACTGCCTGCTTAGGCTCCACAGTGCAGTGTTGGAAACTGCGATGGGCATATGCTTAAAGCTTTCAAATGCAGCTGCGGCGGCTGGGGCTTGTCTATAAAATTGTGACCAATTTTAGTTTAAATTCACGTTTATGGCATATTTGTAGAATTGTTTCGTACTTATTTGTGGGCGAGTTGTTGTTGGTTTTCTGTGCCTTGTCGTCGTCCTCTTTGATTTCTGCTGTTACGTTTTGATTTGTTTCTTGTTGTTTGGAATATTGCAATGTTCTTAATTTCACTTTACACTCTGATAGGAGAAAACATTTTTCATTAAATATTTGTATTTAAAACACTTGTGATTTCCTTTTCTTTTCCACTTTAACACATCCGCTCCGTACTCCCACTTCCGTAATTCTCCTTTACTGTTTATTTCGCGTTACGCGGGGACCTAACGATCATACGTTTTGAAAAACTCAGCTGTTTTATGTTTACGTTGCTTGCACGCTACGTAGGCTCTCGCTACTCACTCACTCTCTTGTTACAGACTCTCTTAAAGGTGTTCTTTTTTTTTCGAAAATGAAAAGAGTGCATACACTCGCTCTGTCATATTTTTTTGCATGTGGTTGGTTTTGTTCACTTTTGACATTTTTGCATACGAAAATTTTCCGCTTTCAGGTAGATTTACCGTAGCTGCTGCTTCCTTTTGCATGTGTGCGTGCGTTCACATTTTTGGCGTGTCTTCGTATTGTTCGTGCTTGGTCGTGTTTGTCTGTTACGTGCGCCTGCCTGTTTTTGTCTACCGTTTTGAGTGCCGCCTCTCTTGGTCTATGCTCTCTTCTGGCCTGGTCTTATCTCTGTTCGGTTCTGTTCTGCTACACACATTCACATATTTGCCCCTACGAATGCTTCCATGTATTCAACAATGAAACTCTATTTTATTTCGTTTATTACTTTTTTTTTTGCCATTGGGTAAAACAGTCAAGGGCGCACGCACACCTTGCACTGGAACTTCCCGTGGATGGGAAGGATGCCAAATTGAGCGGTAGCAGGTATGTGGAATAGCCAACACGAAGATATACCAAAGACAGAGAGGAACAGAGAGAGTGGGAAAAACTGATCATGGAAGGGCTGGCAATGGGAAGGAAATAAGGGATTTTTGGAACCACCACAACTTTTTCCTTTGAAGCGTCCCCCCTTCGGGGTTTCCCGAAAAGATGCACAGAAACAAGCCACTTTTGAACAAGCTCACACACACAAACACACGAATGAAACTATCCACAGCAGCGGCAGAGGCAACCCCACTCCGTCAAGGTGAAAACTGTATGAACTCATTTATGCATAAATATGTACAATGTCGCGGCTGTGTGCTCGTGCTTCAGTAGTAACATATTTTGAGTCAACTCTAAACAAATTAGCCAAATCCAAATACAACAAACGCGAAAACGAAACAAAGAGAGGAGCAGCGAAGCAGCAGCAACAACACAATTTCAAGTTTCGTTTGGCTACAACAACAGGAACAACAGAAAATGCCGCTCAAATAGCATTGAGAGCCGCTGAACGACGAAAGGCCAATGCACTCTCCAAGCAAGAGAGAGGGGGAGAGGTGTACATATGAAGAAGGATAAACAGAAAAGAGAGAGAGAGAGGGAGACAAGAAGGACATATAAAAGAGGGAGGGAGTAATAAGGCAAGGATACGCAGCGGGCGGGGCTGGCTGGCAGGCAGGCAAAGCAAATGCACACAAGTACTGGAAAAAATACTTGTATTTATGGCAGAGCAGGACGACTTCTTCAACAGCTGGCCCGCAGGCAACAGGACGGAGCCGACCGACACAGCCATCAACCACCACAAGACAAACAATACTCGGCACATACCACACATAAATGGAAACTTTAATAAAAATACGTGAGAGCAGAGGAATGCTCAAAAGAAAACTGGAGAGGGGATGGAGATGCATTCACGTGAATATACACACATTATTGCATACATATGCACATATATGAATATTATATATGTATGCATGTATCTACATACATTCATATGTATCTCATGGTTGAAAAATAGATGAAGCAGCTGTCAGCTGTGTGGAACAATTTTCTTTGTACTGTGCCCCTGTGCTGCGATTCTTCTTTGACACTGCAACAACAAAACAACAACACCAACGAAAACATGAAGCAAAAGAACTACTCAAACCACCGATAACAATGTCAAGTCGGAATGAATGAGGAAGTGAGAGAAAAACAAACAAGGTTTAGCAAGAATAAGGTAAGGAATTTCGAGCAAAGGGTCTCTTGGTTTATACTATAAACTTTATAGCATGCACCATAATCGGGTTTCAGTTGTGTGTTGTGTCATGGAAAGAGAGTGGCTGCTGATAAATCAGTGCTGAAGTTACAGGGTTGCCACCTACTCACCCTACACCGACCCACCAGGGCTACATGCAAAAATGCGACCAAAAGGCTATCAAACTGCTTTCGAAGTGGCTGGCTTATCACTCTGCACGTGTCACGCGTGGGAACGTGGCTCCAATGCAAGATCGGCATTGGCCAAAACATGCGCATTGGCTTCATATTGGTAGGTATACAATTTTTGATGTTATCATATGACAATATGATCTGGCAGCTCTGCCAGACTTTGCACCTACTATTAAAAAATAACAGTGCTTGAGAAGTGCAAGCGACAACGGCGACAGCTGAGAGCAATAACGGCTTCGGTACTAAGTACAAATGTGTGTTTGAGTACCATACACACATACATATCCATATATGCATATGTATGTACATGTGCGCACGTAAGTATGTGTGAAGTGAATAATCAATTGCCAGAGCAGATAATGATGGCAAGCAAACCAAATGGAAAGGGGACGTACAGCGAGGGGGACTGTGACGAGGACGCCTTATTGGTAATTGCCCACACGGGAATCCCAAATGCCTTGGACATTGTATATACATACATACTCGTACATACATATACAAATATTTGTGTTGTGTTTTCCCCATTTTGGTGCATTTTCAAAACGCACACACATACACCAGCAACAGAGAGAGAGAGCCAACTTTTCACACACACACACACTTTAATTTTATATAATAAAATGGCAATATTTTAAATTTTATCTTCAGCGCTAAGCTATTTATAGTCCAGAAATGACAGCCACAACAAAAACAACATCAGCAGCAGCAGCACCCACAAATGCCCTCTCTACGTGAGCGTGTATTAGTGATTCTCTCGGTCGCTCCCTCTGTGTGTGTGTGTGTGTGAATCACACAACAAATCGACTAAGGAAATATTTTACGATGAAAAATAAATATTGTATATAAAACAAAAAAGGTGTTAAACGCCCGTCGTCTCGCACATGCGATTCGATTCTCTGCTTGGCTCCGACAATTTCCAACAGAGCATCAATTGCATATTATCCCCTCCCCGTTAGAGGTTATTAACCGTTAGATGCCATCAAAAGAAACTGCCCCGTTGCCGACATGAAGAGAATAGGCGGCTTACAACAGATTAGGGATGTACGAGTAGGTGTGTAATAACACATATCGCATTGCATAGAGTATCGATAGCATCTCATCAAGTATCGACATGGTGAAGATTTCAAAGATCCCGTACATTTATTCAGTTAAAAGTTTTACAATCGAAAGGCTACTAATCATATGATAAATCAGTCGTTTTTCTGTTGGGGGGAAAAACAAAGCTAAAGAGTAATCAGTAGAAATATGATTGTTTCCCAGAATAATAATAAAATCTATGAGACAAGCGGCAGGCATATCCTAAGCTTCTTGGAGCGCTGAACTCTGACGCCTTTGGCAAAATAAATACAACAGAATGCGGGGCAATAAAATAAAAGGAAGGTACACTGAACTTGTGGCCTCATGAACGTACGAGAGAACTCTCTCGAGAGAGAAGCAGAGACATCTAAAGAATCGACACAACAAATGAACCGTGTTCGTTCAATGACCGATTTGAACCACAACCAGACCAGCTCGAAGCGATCAAATCATTGCATAATTCAGAGGAATGTGCCCTCTTTAAAACAAAAAGCACCCACAAATGTTAAACGGAAATGCGTAATTCAAGCGTGCCCTGGCCCTCTCTCTATCTCTCTATGAAATTGATATACGAAAAGAGTAAAGGGGGAAGGAATTGAAATCGGGAAAACATTGACCGTGAATCGGCATAAATCGGAATTTCAACATAGACATATCTGGATCTGGGGGCACACACACATACAACTTCAGATTAGATTAGTAATGTGCTGTGGTTAGGTATGGGTCTCGAAACTTATTTACGCGGACAGTGTTATCTGTTAATTTGAACGCCGCAACTAAAACAAAAAAAATTACCGCAATTAATCGATGGTGCGGGATGTACATATGTATGGTTGGATAAAGAAAGCTTTTAGCAGCTGTTTCAGCTTAAGAAACCACTTTGAAATATACATATGTGTGTGCGTGTGTGTTTTCTATGAAGCTTTGTTTTTAATGAACCTGACCTGAGCCCCCTCTGCTCCATTGGGGCACCTCCGTCAAAGAATCGGGTTTTGGTCGCTCCAAAATAAAAATCGTCAATAAAAAGCAATTTAAATTTAATCAGAAAATGGCACGAAGAGGAGGATATGAACATAAACCTACCGGCACACGTTGTTTCCCCATTGCTTTTTTTTTTTGTATTTTAAAGCCCGTAGCAGCAACAGGTTTATTTCTGTTAATGGTAGAATGATGGACAATGTATAGTAGGAAACTTAAAGCAAATGATGTTCGTCGAAGAGCTTCTTTTGAGATTTTTGGTGCAGCAGAGTTATAATAAACAACTATCGATAACCAGAACTAGGAATTTCATAGGATTAAAGGATGGATCTCTAAGACTCCAGCAGACTCCAGCAAACCCATTTGGGACTTCCACTAATTATGGGTCAAGCTAAGCCAAGCGGCGGAATACCAGATTTAAGAAAAATCCCCCCAGAATGCTCCATCTCACATCTGTTGGGGGCCAAGAAGCTTTTGCTTGTGTGTTGCTAACTGGTCTGAGGTCTGAGAGTGTTTATCGTTTAGCTTTTTATACAATTTAAATAAAATCAAGCTGTTATTGTTTTTCCCAAAAGTCGAACTTAAATAAATTTCAAATAAAAAACTTTTTATATGTGTTTCGTAACGACAACACACACACACACACAGGCAGGCGGGCGGCCACAAAGCCGCAAAGTACGATATCTTCTGCTGCTGTTTGGCTGTCGCTGAACACACACACTCACACACAACCACACAAATACATATGCATGCTAATCAACAACACCCAAAAAGCTAA